GTACCTTGTTATAGAATATTTTGAGGTTTGATCCAAAGTTTTTCAGAGGGTCAATACTCTACTCTTTCTTTTTTATACGGAGGACATCTGATTTTGCTACCCATAGAAAATCTTCCAGAACGGCTTTGTAGGACATACTTCAGAAGGCCTTTTGGAAGAGTCTTTCTAACAGGGCAATTCTGACATCTGTCTTTCAACCGACGACGGTTTTACGAAAGGGAAATTGAAAGATCTGCTAACGAGGAAACTCCTCTCGTTATTCCGTTTGTCTTTCAGTAGAAAATTTTTTAAATTAAACTAAATAAATAAAATTAAACTAAATAAACAAAATTTATATTTTTCTTTGTAAAATAATAAAAACTAAAAATTAAGTGAAAATTAAATTTAAAAAAAAAATAACAATTTAAAAATAAAGAAAAAATGTGTAGTGTTTCACAGAACACCTTACTTAAATATTGAAATCTAAAAATTCTAGTAATATTAAAATAAAAATAAAAATAAAAAATAAAAGGAAATAAATAAATTTAATTCAAAAAGAAAATATATGAAACATTCAAAAATTTTCTTTCTTTTAAAACAATAATTTCAAAACTATAATGGAAAATAATATTAAAAAAGAAGAAGAAAGAAATTTAAGAGAATAGTAAGTGAAATGAGTTTCTAAAAATCAAATTGAATTAAAATTATTTTTTTTTTAATAATAAAATCTACAAACTAGAACAAAGTGAAATTGAAAGAAAAAAGAACGATTTAATTTCTAAAAGTAAGTGAAATTAAAAAATTTTCTTTTTAAAATAATAAAATCCGCTGCCTCGAGCCTCTTGAATGGCACGCCTATCCTTTGCTTACTTGACCATTGCGACCTTTGGAGCAGCGCAACGGAAATAATATTCATGCATAAATATGTATATATATCTCTAATTGAAACATGCTCAAGTGCTTTTGTTTTTTTTCAAAAGAGCTTTTCATCATGAAAGTTGGCAAGGGAGCTTTTGAACCAGAATAAACGAGATCTTTCAAACTATCTTTGACAGAATTGCCCTTTAAATTCATAAAATACAAATTGCTTCTTACTAGCTAGTGCCAATATCAATCTTAAACTACAATTTTTTTCTTCCGGGGACACTTCCACATCAACAACTGAGTTTAAATTCGATCTATCTCGGCAGCCAGTTCGAAAACGCCCCATCTCAGAATGCGGTTAACGGTCAAAAATAGATAAGTTAAGTCTAGACGGTTAAGTCGGTTAAAAATAGACAATTAGAAGTAAGTTTATAGGTGTGATGTGCACGATGTCGTTACTACCCCAAATACCTAAAGCTTTTGCCACTTTCTTAACTGGGCCATGTAGGGCCCGAACATCAGCATACACATATATATGTAAGTAGCACCAGTTGGTTTTTCGTTTACATAAACTGCGTAAATATCTGACTGCCTAAACTAGATCTCTCTGAGTTGTGGTTATACATACGTTGCATGCGTAGTAGATACCCAGTACGGCATAGCTCAACCAATTATCTCAGAAAAAGTAGCAGTATTTCTGCTTATGTAGCAACTAACTTCAAATTGATGTATCTATAATCACCTAGCAGCCTCCTTGAGATAAACCAAATGCTTACACTTTTGATACCTTTGCAAATACCTAATTCAATATTAGTTGAAAAATCATCTTAGTTTGGGCAATTAACTGTTTCACAATTTAATTCTAAGTTATTATAAATTCGTTGAAAGACATCTGCAAAGAAACATACTGACTTTGAAGTGCTTTAAGCCAAATGCATTTTAAAGTAGTGAAATCAAAGGCAGGGTCGGATAATTGACTGCTTCCTAGGACATCGACATGTTAAAGTAAAAAGTTCGTTCCACGAAAGAAAGTCAGATCTTCAATTAGCTGTGGTGGTTAAAAAATGGTTGAGCATCAATATTTAAACTATGCAGTTTCTTTCCGTACTGGGTATGTATGTATACAAAGACATATTCCAGAAGCCTATACCACAGCATAAGCCGATGCTGCTGTTATCGAAAGCAATTTTACGCGCGCTTCAGCTTAACAGTAAAGGATTTTGTGTGTACTTACATATGTTTGGGTGGATGTTTGCACGTGTGAAGGCATGTGGTCTATAACACATATTTATAGAGCAATCAACTTGCAAGCATAAACAAATTTATATGCATTTAAACACGCTTAATTTTATGTCATTCCATATTCGGCAAATTCGTTTTCCTTCACAACTTTTTTATAAATTTCCATTTTATTTGTCTTTTTCTTTTGTCTCTCGGGCAGTTGCTTTACATAAATACACACTGTACATATTTATGTGTACATACATATATATGTACAATAGGCCGCATCCGGATCTATTGGCCGAAAAATATATCAATTCGTTCCAAGCGATTTTGAACACTCACTATGGGAGTGTATATGTCTTTCGTTTCGTTTTTTTCTATAACATTTTTATTTAGTATCCGAAATATATTTTTCAAGTTATGTTAATTTGTCTGAAAGCGACATCCTTTACGCAATGTTATGTGTCAGAAAAATAATCTCAATGACAAGAAAAATACTAAACCATTTTCATTAAACAACAGCTGACTACTACATAGGAAGTAATTATTAATGTATTTTAATTAAAGTAAATGTTTTCGCGATTTTAGTTGGCTGAATGTCCTCGGCTATCAAGCTTGTCAAATATATCGTCAAGGCGCACTTCATCATGGGAGCATATTACAGGGTGCCATGTTCAGAAAGAAATTACAATTTTTTAACCTTGTAATTATAGGGTAATATTTTCTGGTGGAATATATGTATTTATAGAATAAATATTAAGCTGTTTTTATAGCGTGCCGAAAAAAGTTATTACTCCTGAAATATTCTTTTTGTAAGTGTTCCAAATCGTTTGGAATTAATTGAATTTTTTTTGTGATTCAGTCTAATGTACATACAAATATATTCCATTTCTTTTGCGTAAAAATCACATAAATATTTGTCATTTGCTTTTCGTACGTCCATAACTTGATTCGAATAACCCCAAATGAGCATTCAATAAATGTGACGTTAAGTGTTGGAAATGCGCAATAATGCAAATAACGAATGTGAACTGAATACATTTATCCCAAGGCTATTTATTAGGAGCAATTCTGTTGTGAGAAAAACTGTTCGAATTGCTAACGTCAATCGAATATTCCAAGTACTTATATAAGTGTTAGTGCTGCTTTAAATATCCAATGTCATTAAAATGTGGGTAATCACCAGCTTTGTATATTTTATATAAAAGTATGTGCAATTTAAAATTATTTGATTAAAATGACCTAAGTTATGCATTATTTATTTGGTAAAATTTTTTTAAGCTAACTAACTACTATGAAATTGGTTTTTGGAAATTTTGTTGAAGACAGGTGTTTTTACTTTGAGGTGAGCTAATAAGAGTAGAGTTGAGTGAAGTTAAGATGAAGTGAATTGAAGTGAAATGAGTTCAGGCGAGGTGAGTTTAGATAAGTTAGGTGACTTAGGGTGAGTTGAGTTCAGGTAAAATAGCATTAGTTGGGGTGAGTTGAAGTGAGGTGTGGTAAATTTAGTTGATATACAATGTGGTAAGTTCGGTTGAAGTGAGCTTAGGTGAGTTGAAGTGAACTGAGAGGAGTTGATGTGAGGTCAGTTGAGGTGAGATGAGGTGAAATGCTTGGAACACGGTAACTTAATAAAACTTAATATAACGTAACATAAAAGACATAATCTAACAAAATATAACATAACATAACATAACTTAACTTAACAAAACATAGCATAACATAACGTAACATAAGTTAACATATCACAACATAACATACCACAGCATAACATAGCATAACATATAAAAGACTGTTTTAATGATCTAGTCTTGTTAAGTTCGATGTACCCCATCAAGTGTGAATTTCTTCAGAAATTTGTTTCTGTTTTACTTGTAATCCAAAATGCTACGCACTGAATTTGCCTTATAGGTTACTAAACAGAAGCTATACCTATTTTTAGCGCAATCATATTTTAATTTAGGCCATGGTTTCTGACTCACAGAAAGTGTCACGGTAGAGAAAATGTATGCAAAATAAAACCGGTTTCAGTTGAAAATGGATAACCAGTTTTTTCAAATTGTCATTTTTCGAGTACCTCAAAAACTGGTTCTCGAAAAATTGCGAAAAATCGAACACCCTAATGTGTGCATACTTATCGTCACTACACACGAATAAAGGCGCCCTAGTGTTTTGACGGCGACAAAAGGCGCGTAAAAAAATTTTGCGAAAAAAGATGCTTATGAAAAACTTCGGCAAAGTATGTTAAGATTCTTTGACGCTGAAATTTTTTTTATGCGTCTTTTTTCGCCGTCAACTTTTGAGCTCGCGCCTTTATTCGTGTCTAGTGAAGATATGTATTAGAGGATCTTTAAAAAATCCACATGTAATTTTTTTTTGTTCTATCCACAAAAAAGGACATCGAAGAAAATTTCAAATTTAAAAAAACAAATTAGCGGTGGTTACCAGGGTTTAAAGAAGTAAATTTTATTTTTATATCGCAAAAATTTTACAAAATGTTTATCTTAAATCTGATAAAGTTTACAAACATATTACTGAAACTTTTTATATCTATATATGATAAAAAAAACACACAAAAAATTTCCAAATTCTACAGAATTTTCTCTTTCATTTGATACTCATATTGCTATTTTACACTGCGCTGAATGTTTCAAATAATTTGTTTGTATTAAGCGTATCTTCGAAATTTTAAAGTCCTTTTAAAAACCCTCCTGACGCCGGCTACTAATTTCGTGAGTATATTTATTGTTTAGTGTGTTTGAAATTATGTAAGTTTCTTTCGCACTGTGTAGTTAGCGGCGTTGAGTAATCCACGTCGTATGAGCAACATTTTACTTCAAACAAATTTGAAACTAACAACTAAATAACACCTCGCTCGCATATCGAAAAACAATTATTTAACCAACAGCAATTCTCTTTTTCTTTATTTGCAGCAATTTTTCTATCACGACTTCCCGAAGACCCATCAGACAACGACACGCAAAAAAATCTACAAAAGCTGTCTGGTGTGCGACACTTGCATACGCGAGCTGATGGTACTCGACGTTCCGCCCCAGGTGAGCAATTGTAAAATATAAGCTTAATGTAGTCCTGCAACCACGGTAGCAAAAGCTACTTGAAATTTGAGTTAAGGAATTGCAAACAAACGGTAAACTAGCAGAAAAAGCACTAAACATTTACAGCTGTACTGGCGAGAGCAACAGCAACAGCAACATCTATGGCAATTTAAACACCAGCAAGCCCTCTATTGGACAGGCAGGTGTCTCGGCAAAGTCTTTTGCCACAGTCATGCCATGCGCCGCTCCCATTAGTCGTATCACATGAATAAATTATAGTTTTATTGATATTGCACTTGCCGCAGAGTGCAGAGCATAAAGCTCTATAGAGATCTAGAGATCTAGATCTAGTTGCATTCGTTTTATTTTACTTTTTTTTTTTAATATTCCTTATGGAATTTGTGCGATTGCTTTTGCACACGTCTAGCTGTTTTATTGAAAATTTTGTATTAAATTCGATGAACTGCAAGCAGCCAGAATATTGAAATGGTTATGGCAATAAAAAAGTATGTATGCATGTATATATAAATATGTATGTATTTATGCATGTAGTACTGCCTGCAGCTGGAATTGCATCTACTCGAAGAGGTACTAGAATTTAATAGCGTAATTTTTATATGACTAACTGCAATTCTATTTAGAAATGTAGTTTTACTATGAAGATAAGAAAATAAAATACGAATTGATATGCATAGTGAATATGGCCTTTAATTTTTACTCCTGGCTGCCGGCTTAGCGGCACACTGAGGACACACATAGAAGGCGCATTGTGTTACTACAGATTGACGCCGTTCAATTATCCTCCCTGTTGAACCATTTCTTCGGGCTGTTGAATACGATCAGGCCTTTTGAATATCCCTAAGGCTGGCCAGTAACGATGAACCTAGATGACGCAGCTTGCAAGACTGGTTTCTTCTCTTACTGGTCCTTACAGCCTCTGCAGTATCTTTGGAAGGGCACACCGAGGCTCTCTCTATTCTCACCTATTAGACAGTGTCTGGTTAGAGCCCTCACATCTTTAGATATATCCTCTCATCTAAGAGAGTGTACCCTTCGTGATCGCTTCCGATCCCATTTAGGTCACGTCTGCCTCGAAATTCAACAAATGTGCTAACAATTTTATTCTGCGCGGGTGAGAAAAATTTTGTATCCGGCAAATAAAGTTTCTGTAAATTTTTAAACCCTTAAACTGTTTACCATCATATAAGTTGATAACAAAATAATGACCCATGAAATATGCGCTGTCAAAATTGTTACAAAACCACATAGTAGTTGAATTGCTAAATATATAAACAACGTTACCAACGTAGTCGTTAGACCTGATAACGAGGTCGTCCTTAAGATACTCACCAAGGTGCAAATAAGCAATTTTATCTGCATAATTGGAGCGCTCAGAATTACGCCAAACGATGCTCGAACGCCATTTTAGATTTGCTGTCACTGGCCTGGTCATTGTCACCATTTCGCTTCGATTTCGGTTCCGGAAAGGAACTTTGGCACAAGAATCCCAAACAGTGCGGAGTGAAAAGAAGATATTGACATCTGTACAGATGTCTCGAAACTCGACGGTAAGGTATGACGGAGCGTTTTCTCACAAAACCCTCCTCTCAACAACTCTGTGGGGGGCTCCAAGCTGAAGTTTCAGCTATCATGGAGGCTGCTGAGAATCTTGGAACCGAAATTATGGGAAGAGACGTCTTAATTTTTAGTGATAGCCAAGCCGCAATCAAACTTCTGAGCTCATTAACCTTTTACTCAAAGATTGCGCTGGCTGCCACCTATCTCTGCAGGGGATGGCCAAGCAGAACAGACTTCACCTCACTTGCGCAAGGGTCATAGGGACATAGGGGGAAGCTGCATGGCAGGAGAACTTGCAAGGCAAGGCACGTCCAAGCAGATTCTTTCTGGTAAGGAACGCATCGCTATGCATTTTTGCACTTGCAAGCACTTATAGGTCTTTTCTACACATTACCGATGAGTTTGTAACCACAAAATTTATTACCAAAAATTGTTGCCACTTCTTATAAGCGCAATTCTGG